TTTATTTATATTAATTAAAATATAATATTTTAGGAATTAAAACAGGTCTTATTGCTTGTCAATATCTTGATCCTGGAAAATTTTATGTTGTTTTTCTTGAAAAATGTACATCAAATATGAATATTTATTGTCCACTTGATTTTCAAGAACGTATAGTTGATGATTTAACATTGGAATTATTAGAAAGAACATGTCATTTAAAACGTATTTCACCATTAAATTCAATATCAAATAAATGTCCAAATGTATCAATTGATAAATTTTGTCCGAGTACGATTTGAAATGTAATAATATTCTTGAAAAACAAAAATACTTTTTTTTGTTTTATAGATGATAATATAAATATAAAAATAAAACCGAGAGGAAAACTTTATGATTTATTAAATACAAATATGCAATCAATATTTAATAATCACAAACAATTTTATCATCAATCAAATGTAACTTTAGTTAAAGATCGATTATTAATTAATCAATATGTAGATAATCCACGTAATTATGCTCGTTTATCAACATTAACTTCTGTATGGATTATTTATCTTATTGTTAATATATTAATGTTTAACTAAAATTTATTGAAATATTCAATTTCTCTTGTTTATATAAATATTATAAAATAAATAACTTTGTCAGAGAAATAAAAAATATATATTTTATTATTTGAATAGATTTTTTTCTTTTTGTATAACTTTCAAAATATTTCTTTCTTTTTTGATGTGAATCGAAAGCAAAAATTAAAATAATAGGATTAGTGTTAAATTTCATAAGCATTAAATCGATAATTGTGAATGACGATATTAAAAGATAATAGAATAATCAATACTATATCAAAGTTTCCTTTTGTAGAGCAGATTTGGTTGATTATTGATTATTTAAAAATTGAAGAATTATCGATCTTTGACCAGGCTTGTCCATGGGCCACTGATCTAATTGTATTGAATAAATTGTTAACACATGAATGAACAAGCATATTTTGAGTGTAGCAGTAGTTTTTGTTGTACAAACAAATGTTCAATAACATAACATATGATGCAAAAGTAATAGGATAGATCTTCGATAGAAAGGTACTAGAAGAAGAATTTTTTTTTCTCTTTGGAATTGTATATAACTTGATTGAGAAGATCGAGTAAGAATAGAATTAGAAAAAATAATTGTTCATGAACGAGAAGAACTAGATAAGGACATTTTCTTCAATATAAAGTTTTTTAAAGGCGACGACAATTTTCTCTTTTTCTTTGTTTTGCTTTATATATTTGTTATTCATTGCAGAAATATTTTAGCTAATGAAAAAACGTAATATCTTAGGAAAGTTTTATGTTTTATTCAAGATTCAGTCCATTGCAATTTCGAATTAGCCCATTGAGACTTCTGCTTTGGATCGTAATGTCGGTAGGTTTGAGTTTAAACGATTGGTAGGATGAATTTTCTTTTTGATTTTATTTGGAGGTCTCGGTCTCGGCGAAACTATACAATGTTAATAGGTGTTTTGTGACTATACTTAAATTGAAATTTTCGTGTGAAATAAATCTATTGTAATGATCTATAGACAACAAATTCAAACCAAATAACAGGGTTGGAACCGGTCCGGCAAA